AAGACCAAAATGGTAATAAACGAGCATAATTGCACGGGTATATATGCCTCCGAGCTTCGGAAATCGAACAATTTTTGTTCACGTATGCGTTGTATATTATTATTTATAAAAAATGTTTCACCTCTCAACCGTTGATCGTTTCATAATATATATTTTGATATGTTTTCAATTTAAATAATATGCGCCGCTATTCGTGGAATGTATTCTGTCCAATGTACACGTATTCTAAAAATAGGACAACGTACCTACTCTTACTCGATGAAAAATAAAATAATTTACATACCCACATTTTAACGAATACCTATAGTAATATAATAATATTTCATGATTATGCGCACATTCCGTTGATTATTATTATTTTTTTTTATTGGTATGGATTATTTTCTTCTAATTAGCTACCGTTCGCTTCTTGTTAAACGAGACCAGTATAATACATTTTGGATTTACTCTTGATCTTCTCTCTTCGATACTTATAAGTTGTAACTTTTATTTTTGTTGTCCAATCTCCAAGTAGTGTGTATTTGTTTAAGTTGTGTGTTGTATAACCGCTATTAATTATACATACAATGCTATAACGTCTGAACTAAATCTTCAATCGATTCAACGAGCAACTTTTTTTCTCGCTCACAAACACGTTCTGTAATTGCGTGAGGAGATTTGCAGATGTTTAAAAATAATATTCAAAAATGAAATCTTTTGAGAAATTCGAAAATAAATTTAAGCTAAACTTGTTTGGAAAATTACTAGACTATAATATTTCAATTTTTTCAAAAAAATTATATTCAACATTCCCGAATGCAATTCAATTTTTACAGATGGATAATATTTATAGAACTGTTTGGCATTTGTTCAAATTATGTTCAACAAATGAAATATCGATAAGACCTATCTAAACATAAAACATTTGTACTTACGGATTAACGAGTTTTATTAAGTACATTGCATTCTATTTTCTCATTTATTCACAGAGAAACGTGTTTTCTTTTACAATTTTTTTCTTGGCACTAATGTAGTATTGTCTTTTAAACTAATTCATTTTCACAAAATTCAATTTCATCATGAAATTCATATCGGTATTATTTATAAACTGCAACAATTGCGCAGTCTGTGTGTTATAATATATTATATATACACAAAGGTGTAATAATACTAATTTGAAGTCCCATAACACAGAATAAAATTAATTGGAAACAATATTTTTAGGTATTATGTTTAAAATTTGAATTTATTGTTTTGTACTTTTTAAGAAAAAAGTATTTCGATAAAATACAATTTCCGACAATTATTGTTTGCAAATTATTCTGCATTGAATTACTTTTAAAATGTATGCAATTTCTTAAAAATAATTAATATATTTTATTTTTACGATTTTAAATAGAAAAAAAAATAGTAAAACGAAAGTCGAGATTATGGTTTATTAAAAACCGAGATCTTCGTATCGAAAAAAAATTGTCGCTTTTCATAATTACACTGTTAACGTAGGACATTGAATCCGAAATACAAGTAATATGACAGAATTTACTACAGTCGTTGTAATTTCAACGGTACAATTATTTAATCGTTACAATGTTCAGCGTTGTATTTACCATAATTTTATCAACACTCCCGGGCTCGACCGCATGCATAACCACAAGTTAATTCTACAAATTATTTGAACAATTAATTTGTATTGTATATGTATATTATTATAAAATTCATATATTATGCATAATATTATGTATATGATATGGTGGCAATTCGTTCCACGAAAACAGTTGTAAAGAGAACACTGTTAAGCTCGCTAAAAGTTATGTTTTTTCGAGAAAACTATAAATCGTGAGACGAAATCCCGTGCGAGTAGTTATACAAACATAACGACCGCAATAGAGATTTTGTGGAATTTTCCTTAATTTATTCTTAAGAGCGTTTTGCCATATTTTTAAATCACCGACGATGCATTTGTTAATATATCAGACAGACATTTGAGCCCAGTTTAGATTGTACATGTAACACTTGTAAAATCGCTGTGCGCCTTGTATTTTAGCGTTATTTATTTGTGGTTTAAAAAATAAACAAACACGTTTCATCTCATTAAATATTAAACAAATTCAAAAATTTCTATTATTACATAATCTTTAGTTTGTGAATTGGTGATATTATTGTGTTACATTCAGTAAAATCATATAATAACGGCGTATTAATGGTTTATTTTCGGGTTAATAATAAATTGAGTTCGACTTTACCATTAATTCGTAATAACTAATAACTAATCAATATAGATTAAAATTTAAACATATTAATCATAATTCATAATATTACACTAACGGTCAATATAATGGGTATTGGTTGACGGTAAAAAATGAAAAATAACGTTTTATTGTGTAGAAATAATGAAATTATTTTTCAGAAATCACAATAGGAACCACACCAATTAAACGATTAATTATAAACTATAATATAATGGCAATCACATTATTACCGCGGAAGCATTCTCACATATTTTGTTTGGCAGTCCAGTATTGACAATTATTCGGAAGTTAAAGTAAAAACCCCGTAGTCCAATACTCGTTTACAAGTGTTCTCTTTGCAAATCGTCACGTAATTATAATAATAATAATAATATTAAAATACGTGTAATGTATATTATAATTGTATGTTCATTAGGCGCGAACGGGTAAAAAAAGGGTTCAGAGATAGGTACCTATACTGTAAAGTGGTATCGCCGCGGTCGGAATGGTCCGTGTCGGACAGGCGCCTTTTTTGTCACCGGATTTCTGTTGAGCCACAAAGAATATATATTTGCGAATGGTATAACTTATTAAAAGCAAGTTAGTTGTTAACCACAGCGTTTAGGTTAGACGTAACACGCTTTTTTCAGGGGGGTGGTAAACAATATTCAAAAAAGTACTTACATAATAATTATGTACAGTGTCCGACCGTCTTACGTATATATGGTACCTCTCAGCCGAATGATCTTGAAATACGGCTTACTATGATAACTAGGGTCCTAGGGACGTTCCAACGTATGTATTTTGCAGGAAATTTCGAATAATTTAATCTGAGTCTGTGAAATATCCCTGAATACAGGTGTGTTAAAATCAAATTTTTTTCAAATTTAAAATTGGTGTACCTTGGCTAATTTTACCGTGATAAGACTTATTAAGTCCAAGAAAAACAAAGTACGTCCATTTTAAAGAGTTAAGAAATGAGAAATTTTCTCAAAATGTGTAATTTAGTGACCCCAAGTTATCACAGCAAACCGTATTTTAATCTAAGGTTATGCATTAGGCTGAGATATTCAGTGGTAGGATATAAGACGGGACATGCTGATGTGTGAATAAGTATCAATTATAATAATATAATTAAGGTGATGGGTCTGAAAAAAGGTAAGAAAAAACGCATTGTTGATAGTATAAAAAAAATCAAGAGAAAATACCATTGTACAATAATGTTTGTTATACATTTAAGACTTAAATCAAATAAAATAATTCCATTGACCACTTAAATATACATAAAATATGCCCAAGTCTTATTGATTTTAATCAGAAAAACTGTGTATCTTTTTATAAAAATATTAGTTTATTTAAATTATACTCAAAGGTTTTTGTTCTTAATAATATACGGGCTATCAACTGGGGGCTACTTGTTTGGACACGAACAAAATTGTACACAGTGTGTTATTTACATGTCGACAATCGTGCACTGTGCCACCGCGTTTTTCATAATAACAGCCCCGAGCAGTTCAGTTTCTTATCTAATACGGTTTATTTTACATTATTATGAATAATTTAAAATTACCAACATTACTCAGTTTTCTTTTTCAGCTTTGTGTTTTCCAACGAATATAACAAGCCCGAAATTTGTCAAGATTTAATATTTTTTCTAGTCGCTTATAATATTTAATGTAACTTATAAGTCATGAGTCTTGACTTTTCATCCATTATTATTAACGGTCATGGTGCACGATCACACTTGTGCATGTGAATAATAATAATAATAAATTCAATATATAATTTATTTATGTTATATTAATTTAAATTGTTGCGCCCAAGGCAGAGAGTACAGTTTGAGTTGTAATACACTAATACGTATACGTTATGATCCGATAAAATGGTTGGGAAATACTGAATTAGGACAAAATGTCTATTACAACTAACAACTTAAAAAGTATTATTAGTTCTTGTATTCATATTTTGTGGAGCTCAAAAATTAATTTTACTCAATAATTTAGGACACTATTTTTTTGCTTAGTAATTTATGTAAAAACACAATATTTCTACATACAACTTCATAGACGTTTGTCAAATGACAAAGATGAAAGGTGTTGAAATATTATAGGTGCATCTCTTATAATAATATGTTTAATAATATATCGGTTGGTCTGATAAATTTAGTTTGAAAGCAATTGTACGTACAATATAACCACATAAAGTGTAGTTATTTTGGTATACCTACGCGAGCCGTCGTAACTGGATGCGCGTACATATATATATAATATATGTGTACAAAAAGAATTCACGAGATTTAAAAGAAAAAGGAAACGGCAATGGAGGGGAGGGTGGGATGCGACTGTACGTAGTACGGCCAACATCGTGTATAGAACACGTATCGAAATATGTCGGGCGGCGGCGGCAGGGTGCAACGACGAGAAATTTGCGAAAAAACCAAATGCACGAAACAATAGTGCAAAATACATGGCGAGAGAGTGCAGCGAGAGAGAGGACAAAATAATCTCCCAACCGTGGTTAAGTCTGGTCCTCTCGCGCTCGGGAGTCTGCGTCTGCGAGAGTATGTGTGTGTATAAATTTAAAAAATACAAGTACCGAGTCTCATGTGTGCGTATCGGTGTGCATGTGTGCGCGCTTCGGTTATATTATATTATTATTGGGAGTGAGACCGACCTGCCGGCCGGCCGTCTGGGGAGGAGGAGTGGCGCGCGCGCGATCTGCGAGAGGAACTGGTTCAAGATTCGTTGCACCGACGAAAAAAAAATAAACACCGTCTACATGACAGTTTGCGTTTCGATGCAACGCAAGTACAACCAGTTCGCAAATATTACTATTACTATTATTATTATTATTTTCGGTCAGCTCTTCGCACGCGCGCGCGAGTGTGTGCGTGTTGTTTGTGTGCAGTGCGCGCGCGGTCGCGTGTGTGTCTATATATTGTCTGCGCCCATTAATAGTCATAGATAGTAATAATAGGTACGTCGCCGTTGATAATATTATCTCAAATTTTATCGAACGATATTCAATTTTATTTTACCTAACCTAACCGTAGTCGTCGTTGCAAGTGCCCACAGTGCGTCTCCCGGTAAGGTGTCCCGTTTATTTTGGCATACTGCTCGCCGCACCGTCCGCGTTCCTACGGCCCGGCGATTTTTCAATTTATTTTCTTATTTTTTGATAATTCAATTTTCTAACCACCGGCCGATTATCGAAAACCGCGGCGGCGGTGTCGGCGGTTGCGTTGGCCTACGATTTTTGGCAGCCCATGGTGACGACCGTCGTACGACCGACCGACCGACGCGTGTCGTAAAGCGCACCTCCGACCGACCGACCGACCGATCACCATCACGACGGCGGCAGTCGCGTGTCCCCGTGCCATGACCTGCCAGTTCCCGGTCCGGCCTCATCCACTACCGTTGCAGGGTAAGCTATCTAAACTACGAGATTCTGTTAATATTTTTCGTGGTTTAACCTGATTTTTCTCTAGTTTTATCTTTATTAGGCTCTAAACGGCGATCTTATGTGCGCTTATAAATAATATCCGATCCGAGTGATCCGACGCGCTAGACTACAATATTATGTTTCTCCGTTATCCCGAGGAAATCCTTGTTCGAATTTGGCGACTTGTGTTTTGCGATATTTTAAAACGTGTTTATAAAAATTATTGTAAATTATTTTTAAATGTTATAAATTTCCGCCCCACAGACGACGTGCTGTGGGACGCCGGCGCTATTTATACGACATCATACAGTTCGGCCACATTATTATTATTATTATTATTATTATTATATTATGCATTGTATAAACGTGTGCCTCTCTATGATAAAAATTCAACACGAGTTGAACAAATTCTTAAACTATACAATATTATTATTACGTACTAGTTTTATTTTTGTTTGACGTGCATTTATTATATTTTTTTTCTCGTGAAATTTTAGTGTACATCTCTGTGAATGCCGTGTAAACGACATCGCCATCGCTATTATAGTGCATTACAATCATTATATTATGCCGATAAGGATTTCTTAGCGTGTTATTTACAAAATATATTCTCACAGTCGGTAATATGTAAGCTAAACCTGTGTACAATCGATAAAAAAAAAATAATTAAAACCTCTGCATTTCTAAAAAAATATTTGAAATCATTTAAACCTAATTATTGTTTTGACTATAATAATAGTGAACAGTAAAGAATTTTTCTTTTCTAATACATTAAAATAAAACATACCATAATGCCATTATGGTATTCAATATACAATCAAACAATTGTTACTGAATACATACTTACTTAGATGCATGCATATTTTTATCAAGATTCGAAACGATTACTCGCTTATTGTCATATCGATCGCAAACATACGATAACATAAACAACATAAACATCCTACCTACGTCATTTTGTATGCGGTAGTTTTGGTCACGAATTTTTTTTTGTTTTTGAATTTTTTGATGTTATTGATTTACATCGAAAATAGTAGTAAAACAAGTTAGACTAGTCAAAATAACGGTACTCTAAGTAGTTCGTGAGCTAAGAGATAAATTCAATCCTTGGATCGTTAATAAAAATAATTCAATAGATTTATTTTTTTATTTAAGCGAAAACATAACCCTCGGCATCGTGGCCATTGGTTGTTGTTTTTTTTTTGGTATTTTTACATTTGTAGTAGATTTATTATTTTTTTGTAGGAAAGAAATATTACGATGTCCTACTTAAAATGTCACTATAATGTCATCTTCAAAATTTTTTTATCACCGTTTGATCAATTATTACTGATTTTAATAATAATTTTAAATTGAAATATTTGTGATGTCTCAAAATATTCGAATAATATTATAAAATGTGTTTTTGTTGTTGTAAATTCATGTATTGTGGTACCTGTAAAGCGATTTCTCATACAAAGGTTTATACTACCAACTATAATTCCGTATAAATCACATGGGTCACTGAAATCGAGGGTTGGGTAATATAGAGCAATGAAAGTTCTATAAAAAAAATACACTGCACACAATATCAACAAATCCAGCGTTTAAAATAAAGATAAAAAAAAAAAATAAAGTCGTGCTTTTGTACAAAATGCCGCTTGTTGGCTTTAAATTTTGAAATACCTCCATATTTATATAAATATGTATAACGTCCAAGTATAAATGAAAATAATATAATTTCGACGCGAAATGAATATTATTTGTTCATCGATTTCGCCACAACCGTAGCTCGTTGTTTGCTCTCGTTCTGTAAAACGGCTATCCCTGAGCGTAAAACCAAAACGTATTACCCGTAAAATCACACATGCATTGTATATATACGCAGTACTGCACCATCTCCTCGTCCTCCCACACCATCACTAATAATAATATATAGGTATGAGAGGATTTATATCTCGTATCGAGTTACGCGTCGTTTGCATATAATATGTCCTTAACGATTTTGTCAGTCCAGCGGGGACTTGGGGTTCATCCGGAAAATGGCGATACTCCTTTATGCGTATATTATATATAGTAATGTATATATATATATAGTAACAGCCTTTTCCCAAGGGAGTTCCTTAAAAACAACCGACGAAATTAAACTACCCCGCCACTGCAAAAGGCGGCGTGAACGTCTCTCGGTAGGAATTTTAAATCATCATCGGTCTATGTGTGTGTATATAAACATATACGTCGTGATAATATTGTTCCATCTACACCAGCGATGTGTTATATATATATAATTTCCGCAAGACTGCAAGAGTATTGTGTACGCAAAAAACATCAACGTCAAACCTTCCGTAATGTATATGCGATGTGTATATATTACTATCAGTGCAAAGTCTGTTATGGCCTTTTATCGGGTTCATATAACTTGTTCACCCGGGCATTTTCCATATACCTAGATAATATATATTATTTTGCAATAAAATGTGCATTTTTAGCCATTTTAGTCGTTTCAATCTAAACTCTTCAATAGTTCCACGAGTATATATTGTAGATTGTCACTATATGTAAAGCGTCAATATTGCTGTATATCCACCGAACATCTCAACAAATCTCAACAACAGTTATAATAAAAATTATAATAATAGGTGACTTTCGTCAAGGTATACTGTTCAGAAAACCGACTCACCTTATTATTTTTACAACACCGAATTTCGTGCCCCACAGGCTACAACGCGGCGGCTTTTCTATACGTATACTTCAAACGACAAGGCTCGTTGAAAATTCGATTTTCTGATAATAATTATCGTAGGCATATGTACATAGTATGTACTATATTATAATGCATACGGCATACCCATAATGTAAGTGTCGACGGCTCTTCAGTTTTTCGACATCAGCGTTTTCGCATGGTATATTAGTCGCATTTCCTCAATAGCCGGCTGACTACATTATAATGTAATATACATTTGTGTAGAGAATATTATAGTCAAAAATTATATATTATATTGTATTCTACGTAACTAATGGATTATATGTAATGATATTATCGCATTTAATATTCTCATTATCGTAAACATGTATTGTATTCGTATTATTATCACATCATTATTGTCTACCCAGAAAATGGGCATGATGTTTTTTCCTTTAAAAACGAGTGGTGGCTGTAAATTATTTTTCGTGGGTTTCCTGGACATTTTATGCGAATATACCGAAAAGTATTCGGAAATTGTTTCTCAAAAATACCAATCTGTGCTCGGTTTGCAACCAATGCAATATAATACGCACAATGTACGTAATACATTTTATTTATTATGTACTGCATGCTAATGTTTAAGGATTTTGATCCGCTTAGAAAAAAATAAAAACATTTTTGTAAACAAACAATAAGTATACATTCCGTCACCACCATAACTGCACATATCCCGATGGTAGATATCAAGCAAATTATGCATATCTGCTAGAGTTGTGTATGAAATTTGAAACTTTGACACGATCACTTTACTTCTAAACCGTATACAACGCGTGCATATTGATCCACATCGGAGTGCATCGAGGTTAAATTCATACGATCACGGTGGTTCAGCGAGTGTGGGTTCGAATACCACACAGAGTAGTGTGATATGATTTGTGACTAGATAATATGTATCATTTAATTCTCGGATAATTTTCTAGCATTCTCCTCCCCCTCTGCGGTTCATAATATAATTTGCTCTCATAAAATCCCTATTAGCCGCGGGCCTGTGTCAACTTGGCCAGGTTAAGGTATAGAAGAATTATAGTCAAATTTAAATCTTAAAACGACGGGCGTCGGATCTACATCACCCCAATATTATTATGCATACCAAAACCGCCAACGATTTACTGCAATGTTCTGAATCCGATGACGGAAAACTCCAGCAGCGCCGATTATATTTCTCATGTCAAACTATATAATATATCTCGCAAAGGTCGCTCGGGCAGTAATAGTTATTCAATAAATTGTAAATTCCAAGACGCCTATTGGCCGCTGAGGATCTTTGCAAATAATAGATATACTGATTATTATACTACATTGCGGGTTGGTCACGAGTAGTAGATTGTGGGTGGTTTGTCACCGTCGTCGTCGATCGCCGTACATATATATAATATATACAGCACTTGTTGCTGTGTGGTGTCGGTGTTCATAATAATAATTAGCAGACCGCAAATCCCGATGACGCCAAAGTCGATTAGACGTGGGCACGCGAGCGCGTGATGTTTAATATATATATATAGTAGGTACAGTTGTACAGATACAGTGCGTAATAATATTATGTATATCGAACTGGACAGGACCGTAAATAATGTATAAGGTACAGTGTGTGTTACAGGCAGCAGTTGCCTACGCGATATTAATTGCGATTATAATAAACGCGATATAGGGGTATTATGTAGACTTGACGTATTTTTATCATTTTTTTCTGTATAATAATAATAATATAAAAAAATCTATGAGTTAAATAAACTGTAATTTTTAACGGGGCGACATTATGTTCAAAGCCTTAAAGTTATTATTACGAAGTATATGTATATTGTGCCACATGCATGACTTGTACTACATCGTACGTTGGAACATTTTTTTACAACCGAATACGCTTGTGGATTTACCTTTCCTATTTATTAAAATATACAGTCTGATTTGTCCCGATTAGGTTAATAACATATTTTACCAATTTCTTAATATGCTATGTCGAAACCGTTCGAGCACAACATAATTACATGTTAGTTAACAGACACATTTCGTATACTGTACATTCGATTAATAAATTAACAATAATTATTATTAGTAAAACACTTTATTTCGTACAAACTACAGTTTCACCCTAACATATAAAGATACATTTTATAAACAATTTTATTTTGTCATATTATCTTAGTTTCTTTTTACAACACATTTTTCAATGTTATGCTAGTAAATATTTGATCCATTTTCCCATGTTTAACTTTTCGACCGACCTCAAATAAATAATAGCATAACATTTCTGATTATC